TCTTCAAGCTTGTTTTTTTTTAAACTGGTTTCAGTTACTTTCTTTATAAATTGTTTTGTAATATTTTTTTTTAATTTTGGTTTTTTTTTGTAAAATAAAAATTTCAATAATTATAATATACTTAATAAATAATTCTTAACTCTGATTCTATAAAACTCTGAGTTTGACAATTTTTTTGTAGATAATTACTACATTAAATATGTAGTCATTCTAAGATATGGATGCATGTTTCAGCTTCGTTTTTCAAATTTTTAATAGCAAAAATTGTATAAAATTGCGAAATTATTCGTTGCTTTCGAAATTCCTTCTCGTACAGTAGAATATTGATTGCTGATCGTCTCAGTTAAAAAGTACTGGGATGGCTGAATTAACAAAATTTTGTTGATTCATAAAGTAGAAACCATTAACTAAAATATAGCTTACGGGTTTTCGAAAATTTTAATAATTGTAGAAATGATCGTCGTTTCAAGACGTTCGTCGGGTCGAAAAGTGCAAATCGAATATCGCACCACGTGTTTCAAACGGAGCACCAGGTATATGGATGCGCGAGAAGAGTGAGAACGCAAGCACGATAAAGCGAGACGGCCTACGTTCCTCGTCCGTGTGGACACTCCGTAGAACTCGCTGGTTTCATTCTATTTCTCTCGATCATCTCCCGTTTTCTTTCTAAAGCAACTTGCGAACCTGGATGCGTAGTAAAATGGTAGGGATAAAAATGCTTAGTGAAGTAGAATTGCTCCCTAAGGTGAGGCATGAATGTCTCGGTCATAAAAGTAAGAGCTCTAGTCTATGGTATAGAGGTATTCGTGGAATATACATGCGTCGAATATGCAGTTTTTCAATTTGTATGCTATGAAATAATGGTTCCGGGATAGAAAGTATTTAGAGTAGCAATAAAAGCATTAACGATACCTTGCGGAAATTCTTTTTGTTCGAGCTCTGGCACATGCTAAACCTTTACGACTTGGGTCCCTGGCGAGCCCGGCTTGGCGGTTTACAACCTTTTAAGGAGGCTCCTCTATTTAATAATACCGACTCTTTTCAGACCCCCAAATTCCTATAAGCAGGGAAGTTCGTCCTTATTCATTTCAGAAGTGAAAGTGTCAATGCCTAAATAAAATACAATTTTCGATGTACATATTTCCTCCCCTTGTCTAAAACTATGAGGACAGCACCGTTTAGATGTGAAGCGTCAACCAATCAGAGAAGAAGCAGTTTCTCTACCTGCTTCATAATCCTAAGCCGATTGCCCCGCATGGGCTTATTATGATGAAGCACTACTTAATGAACTACAATAAAAATCTATTTTATTATACCCACCCTTCCAATTTTACGAAAACTAATATTGTACTTACAATTCATACAATTTTGAGTATGCATACTGTATTTAGAGATCTCTGTCGCACTCTAATATTTACGAATCTTTGTCGATATAATAAATAACTTTTGACCAGTTGTAAATATTCTCATTTAAGTTACATCTCTCTGAGTTAAATAATAAGTATTGACATACTATTGTTAAATATTTCATTAAAAATTTTACAATTTTCGATAATTGATTATGTATATGTGTATGTACTAACATGTTTTATCATTAAGCAAATTAAGATATAAATGTGTTAGTACGTTATTTCAATATGTATGAAATCATAATCTCAACAGATTTATCGAATATGTAATAAGATAAGCAAAAACAGTAGATGTACCAAGTTCATCCAGAAAACGATTGCAAAATATGGAATTTCGAATTATTTTTGCATTTATATTACTTTTTGAAGGAGGGCTTTCTGTCGAACATTGTAAACCTAATATAGGTAAGCAAAAGACCTTATCTTTCAATTGTATAATTTTGTTAACATTTAAAATAAAGTAATTCCAATGATGTAGATTAATAACTGCTGAAACATTTTTAGCAATTATTGGTGGAGGTATCGGAGGAGCATCTAGTTGCCATTTTCTTACAGAATTATTTGAAAGTAATCTTAACATTGATTTGTATGAAGCAAAAACTATTGGCGGACGATTAACTACAATACAAATTGATGATAATGAATTCGAAGCTGGTGGTGCAATTATACATCCTCAAAATAAATACATGCAAGAATTTGTTAAATTACTTGGTATATTCTAACTACAATATAATTTTATATTCCATTTTTTTATCTTCATAATTGAAGCGTTTTTTTAGGTTTAGAACACAGACCAACTGATGATAATAAAGCTGGTATTTGGAATGGGAATGAATTTGTGTTTGAAGAAAGCAATTGGGAATTGATATCCTTTGCAAAACTACTTTATAGATATGGTATTCAGCCATTCAGCCTTAATAGGTTTCTATATATTACTAAAAACATTTTCAAATATATACTGATTAATATCGTGGTAATAGCTAACTCTAATTTATTTCTAACAGGTATGTGCAGTCTATATTAAATGATTTTGCAAAGATATATGGTTTACAAGATGCTGGAAAGTCTTTTGAAAATGTTACTGGCTTATTGTCAGCCATGAATAATGGATTTCCAAAATTATTACAAATATCCATAAAAGATCATCTTTTAAATTTGGGTTATTCAGATCAAATGATAGATGAACTTGTCAAATCAACACTAGTTGTAAATTATGGACAAACTACCAATGTCCATAGTTTTGTTGGTTCCGTATCTATAGCTGGAGCAGGTTTCGATTTGTGGTCTGTAAAAGGAGGAAATAAAAAGGTTCTTCTTCTTCTTCAATGAGAACTTATACTTTTAAGTAACAATATAGTGAGCTAATAAACCCAATGGAATTATGAATAGAAGTCTAGTAGATAATAGATATCTAGTTACCAACTGAGATTATTATTACAGTAAGAAATAATTTCTGTTTTCAATAAATATTAACAATTTTTCAAGTGCAAAAATGATTCTTGCCCTGAAGATCTTAGCTGCACAGATCAGCAAGAAAACTTTATTTATGATCCATTTAGTGTTTACTATTTCATTATTTTACTTCTGAATATATCTAAAGTGCTGTAATATTTTAGGTACCTGAGCATTTAATATATAGAAACAAGAATGTGCACATTGTACCTTCTTATGTCGTAAAAATTGTCAATGCCCCAAAAGAAAATGGTAGACAATCATATGAAGTGCATTACCATAGTAAAGGTATAATACATCAACAATTACTTAACAACGTCCTTATTGTACCTTATTATCTAATGATTTTCATTGTAGGTAGTACAATTATAATGAAATCAACATATGACATTGTAATTGTTGCAACTCCACTTACCAGTGATCAACAATATCCTATTATTTTTGAAGGATTTCCAAATAATGACTTCTATGGTGCAGAGAAATATCATAGAACTATAGCTACTTTTGTTAAAGCAGACTTGAAACCACATTATTTTGGTTCAGCAGAAGAAATAGATATCATTCTTAGTTGTGATCCGAATAAAACAATAGTTAGTTCTGTGGGTAGACTGAATTCAGTAGAGGCCACACTAAAGAATAGTAGAGTTTGGAAAATTTTTAGTAATGCACCTTTACAATCGGGAGTTCTGAATGAAATGTTTTCAAATGTATGATGCTTATGAAAATTTAATAGAAAATTAAAATAATGTGTATAGAAATATTTTAATAATTTTCTTTACAGATTGATGAAATAAAGGAAATTTCATGGAAGGCTTATCCTGAATATTCAACATATGTCCATGAAGCAAAATTTAAATTGCACAATGCACTTTATCATGTCAATGCTATTGAATGGGCAGCCAGTGCTATGGAAATGAGTGTTATAAGTGGAAGAAATGTAGCAATTTTATCACACAAAGATTTCTCTGAGACATGTTACCACTATAAGATTAACAGAATGCAAAATGATATACCTGAAAATACACCATCCACTGAATTGTAACAAATACTTTACTTTTATAACTACTTTAATAAAATTATAATAAAAACATATAAAAAATTCTATGAAGAATTTAGTAATTTGGTACTCGACTATACAATACATATTTAATCGTAACATTATTAATAAAAATAAGTATGGTGAAAATAAGTTAGTAAGTAAAATATCGAATAGAATTTCAATTAAATTTTGATCAGAAGCTAACATTAAACAATTAACAATTAATATTTTTAGTCAGCGTTAACGATTGTTTGGACATATGATTGAACATATTCACGTGTAAACTGTGAAGATTTTGTGGAAGGAAAGCATTTGTAAACATACATGCACACATACATACATATGTATGTCATTACAGTACATATACATACACATGTGTACATATGAATGTAACCGAACTCCAACTGTCCAAACGAGCTTGCAAAAATGTGATAACAGTGAAACTACATTATGTTTCTTCAAATAGAAGACTCTGTATCAGTATTATCAATAGATTATTACAAGGTCATTTATACAATCTGCCATGCCAACATTCTAATTCTTACTGTGAATCAAAAAATCTTTTGAAACATAACCTGCAGTGAATCTCCAGAGGCGTTACACGAATGTCAATCGCCTTGGCCGATCTTACTGACGTACTAAAAATTGGAACTGAAGATGTGATCTCACCGGCACATACAACATTCGTCATAGTAGACATACATATATATATGTATATTTACGTGCATTAAACGTAGTATTATTTTATTTGAAAGTAAGGTGTAATGCACCCTTTGTCTATGGTGTAATGGAAAATCATTCTGTTCGTATAAACTATACGCTAACACCCCACGATACTGAACAACCATTAATACATGATAACCAAGCTATACAACTCAAAGAACACAATAAAAAATCAGAAGAAATAATTGTACATACAAATAAAACGAAAGGTGGTTTGTTTAACTCCAGGGCACTGATATTTGTGGCATTATGGTTCTTCTTCAGTGGATGTACTTTATTCTTAAACAAATATATATTGTCTTACATGGAAGGAAATCCCACAATTTTGGGTACATATAAATAAAAAATATAATATTTAATATGCTCAATATCTTTATTTTAAAAATCATCTATTGTAAATGTTACATTTCTATCATTTTATAGCATGCATATATGTACTCCTTAACTAAATATTGTAACATTTCATTTATTTCTACAGGTGCCTGTCAAATGTTAATGACAGCAATATGTGGTTTTATACAAATGTATTTCCCATGTGGAATGTATAGAACAAGGTCCAGGTTAACAAAACCAGCAGGTTTTTATAAACATATGATCTTGGTAGGATGTACAAGATTTACAACAGTAGTACTAGGACTGGTATCACTTAATTACGTAGCAGTGAGTTTTACAGAAACTATTAAAAGTAGTGCGCCAATTTTTACCGTCCTTATTAGCAGATATTTATTAGGTAAGAATTAATATAATAGTTTTATGTCTTATCATTTTACATCATTTTTCATTATTGTTTACAGTTTGTCATATATATCTCATTCATATGCAGTTTATTCATTTGAAATATCATATATTAATAAATTTACTTATAATTAAGCACACACACACACTATTAATGATGTATTAAATTCTTCCTATTGATTACTAATGGTTGTAACACTTTATTTATAGGAGAACATACAGGGTTATATGTGAATTTATCTTTAATTCCTGTAATGGGTGGTCTAGCTCTGTGTTCAGTGAATGAAATCAGTTTTGATGTCAGAGGATTTATTGCTGTTATGGCCACAAATGTAACAGAATGTTTGCAAAATGTTTATTCCAAAATGTTAATCAGTGGTAACAACTTTAGGTATACGTGAGTATTATATTCATTATTTATACAATATCTTCAATCATAGTAGTTTCTATAGTAGTAGTAGTAGTTCCTAAATTTAACTTGCCATTTGAAATTGCAGTCCTGCAGAGTTACAGTTTTATACCAGTTTAGCATCAATTGTGGTGCAAGTACCAGTGTCAATTTTACTACTAGATTTACCAACACTCGAGCATTCCTTAAGTTTTAAATTATTCACAGCCTATCTTCTTAATGGAGTGTTCTTCCACTTTCAAAGTATCACTGCATATGCATTGATGGATTATGTTAGTCCTGTAACACACAGGTACGTTGCTTAATTTTATATTAATTATATGAGTAAAAATCTGAATTTGAAAACAAAAAATTACATATGTCGTCTTTTGTAGTGTGGCCAATACAGCAAAGAGAGCTTCTTTAATTTGGGTCTCTGTTTTACTATTCAACAATCCGGTAACTAGATTATCGGCTTTGGGAACATGTTTGGTAATAGCAGGAGTATTACTGTATAGTCGAGCACAAAAATACGATGGTTTAAACAAAGAAAAATTACGACACAGTTAAAAATTAATTTTTTATTAATCGAGTTCTAAAGTTAACAAGAAATTTTTTTGATTAAAATAAATTTTTCTAT